TGTCCTGCATATATCATATTTTTATATACTGAGGAAACATTTAATTTCTTCTATCATAAAAGAGCTGGTGACAAGTCTAAAAAGACTTCAAAGACTGGATCATTTTCTACTGTCAGGATTTGGAAAAAAATAAAAGTAAACCAGTTTATTTGACCTCTTAGCATACTTCTTCATATCTTTATATCCCTCAAAGTTCTCATGAACTTGAAGTTTTATAATTTATTTTAACTTAAAATGACATAACCTAAAGTGATGTGAGTAGTGAATGGCGGGGCAGGCAACTGATTTAACTGTAAGTTTCAAACCTAGATACATTTGGTAATTGCTAAGGTCCAGGAACAAAGAAAGAAAAGAAACATAAGCATTTCCATGTTATGAAATGCAAGCTTCCTATTAGCCTACTGTTTTGCTGACCACTTTCCCAGCTAGGAAGGATATTATCATTAATGGGCAATACATGAGCCAGATCCCTCCCTCTGGTCTCAGATCATATGAAAGAAATCCAAGGTGGCCCACCACTGGAGGAGGAAGTCTGCTTGAACATAACATAGTGAAATGCTTATAGTAAAACAGCAGAAAACTGAACCCATGGATGCCACAAACCACAATTTTCTTCTAACTACTGACTTTTAGTTTAATTCCAATGACAGCAAAACAAATTTAGTAATACCAAAGTATCCTTCCTATAGTGTATTTACTTATTATTTAAGAATAATTAAATGTTGCAAACAAAGGGTCTAAGAGAAGAGGCTGATATGCAAAAATTTGAGTATAAGTGTTTTAAATTAACTGCACTGAGAAGGCATTATAGCTAATACAAAATAAACATTGGAGCATTTGGAGAGAAAATGCACTCTGAAATATAATAAAATGCTTCAGATAACATTTTCTGTAATTTGCATTTCTTTAAAAAAGACAGCTTTGAAGCCCTGGGCTGTATTATTGATACGTAGGGCACAATACTAACTGTGATGGTCACGCTATCATATCCTTAGAGTGCCGTAAGTTCTCACCATAAGCCTGCCTGCTGGAAATATTTTGCACGCAGGAAAAGCGACACCTCCAGAAGGGACAATAAAGATGATTAATCTTGCAAACTACTTGAATGGTAGGTTTCAACAGCTTCGTGAGACTCTAAAATTCCTTTGTTGATTTAGAACAGTAACTAACTGCTTACTATGTCTCCTTTATCAAGAAAGGATAACAGTTAATACACCACAAACAGAATCAATATTAAAGTATGGTTTAATATACAGAAAGTCATACACATTATCACTGCTTGAAGTGCCATAAGAGGCCACCACCACCAACGGCAACTGTATTACATGTTTCATTTCCCTCCCCAACCAAATGTTAAATGAATCAAGGCAGTGTGTTAAGATATCCAGCATTTTAAATACCAAATCTTTTGAAACAAAATGTAGCATGAAACGAGAAATGTGATTATACTATTCTGTGGAGAAAACAAACAGATCTCTATTTTCTGAGTGAGGTACCAACTGGTTTTTATACCACAGTATACCCTTCTGACACTTTGGGTACTCTTCACATATGGTCAGGCAGATCTGACTAAAAACAGTTACTGACTAAAGTTTCTGACTAAAAAAAGTTACTAAAACAAATACAAAGCAGGGATACTCAGATTTGTTTTCTCCTTTGCCTGAGGGTTGTTTCACTTGCATTGGTGACTGTCATGGCAGCTTTGGGTGCTTTGATTAAGCATTTCAAAAGCTACACCACCCACTGCTTTGTAATGTTACCACTGTATTCAGAAGATGAACTGCTATACTGTAAATCACTGACAGCAGTTCTCAAAGATGAGCATAGGACAAGTGAGTTGCATTGACCCAGGGTAAGACATCCTTCTGGTTTCTTGTTTTCTGTTGTGTCCTTGTATAGCAATGAAACAGATTGCTTCTTCATCCTGCTAGACAGCAATCAACTCACACTTGCAATTTTTTAATTAATAGAACTGTAATAAATACATGGACCTACCTTTGTTATTCCCCACTATCATCCTCTATTAGTTTTCATGAAACATTTTTTTTCATAAAATGAAAAGGCAAAACAGGTGTTAGATTATTTGTGTTTGAAAAATTCATGTCATTTAAATAATTAAAACTAATTTGTGTTGAGAGCTACAGTTGCATTTTTATTAGATAAACAAGTACAAATAGGCATCACTACAGAGCTGTTTATTCAATAATGAGATTAAATGAAATGCATTTCGTAGTCTCAATTCTTTCTGATTAATGTGACAATTGAAAATCTAACTTCTGTGCCCTAACAATGTGGCAACAGCTGCTCACCATCTATAATTCCATAAAACTTTTTTTTTTCTGTAAAGCTATACATTTTAAATTATCCCTAAAAAATATCGTAAGCAAAATACTGACTGCTTTCACAGTTTAAACAATATTTGCATTATAACCCCAAAATTATAGTACTTTTCAATTTAATCACAAAAGTTAACATTTTATTTACAAGTAGCAGTGTGTATGTGTAATGTAAACCTTTTTGCATATCTTTCTATATAGTTTTTATTGTATTAATCTGCATAGAAAAAATATGGTACTTTTAAATTAATAATCGATTCTAAATGAATTAGCCTACAATATTTAAGTACAATTTTACGAGAAAAAGATATGAATACAGCTACAAGCAGAATGTGCTGTATGTAAAATTGCTAAGAAACAGTTATAGCAGCTCAGTACTTACCCTCTGAACAAAAGGCATCAACATATAATTGCAGGTAAAAATTTATGTACTATTAAATATTTAAGGAAAAAACAAATTAGCAAACTTGTAGAAGCAACATATTTCTATAACTATGATAGAGTATATTTTTCTCTTGTTCACTAAGGTATTTTCAAACATTTTTAGTAAAGATGCAGCATATTATATGTACAGGGACTGCATTGCACCAGATAGTGACATGCTAAGCCATGTTTGCCTTGCATTTGAGACACCACTTGAATCTCTATCCCTTACAAACCACTCTTGGTTTGTGAATCTGTGGTAAAAAGTAGCACTCATCAACCTTTTTTTCCATATTCACATCAAAACATTCAAAATTTGGG